TAATGAATGGCTCCGTTGGAAAAAAATGGCATTGACTTGCGAATGGAGCCTCGACCTCATTCGTAGGTTGAGCTCTGTTCGCAAGTCGATGCCAATTTTTGCCAACGAAGCTGTTTGTAAATCGAAAAGTCCGTATGTAGGGCCATTCGTAAGTCGAGGGTTGACTGTAAGAGAAAATTCTGCAATTATTTTTGTTGAACCATTGGAGCTACAAAATACTGCCAATCTCTGAGAGATCTCCTAATTTCTCAACACTGGCTGTTCCTTTGGCCTTCCTGAAAATGAGGTTTTTGAACCCCTTCTCTCTTCTACGGTCTTTGGAATCTGATACACTCCAGTGGGCTCTGCTACCTGTAGCCGAAGCAACCTACCCTGCCGGCGCCGGCTGCTAATTTTGCGGAATAGCGTTCCTTCACAAAGGTGTAACAGTCTCTGCTGCTGGATCAGCTTGAGAAGTTCTGGTTTCAGCCGCTCTCTCAGTTCCCTGGGTCAAAAGGACGGATGGAATACATAATGTCTGTTTGTTTAACCCCACCTTTCTCCTTAAAAAAGACCCAGCATAGCTTACATAACTAAAATACAATACTAAAAGCTAAAAACAGCAAATATACAAATATTCAAAATGATCCAATACCACAATAAAAATGGTAAACAAAAACAATACCAAAACCCATTTGAAGCAGTAAAGCACAACCATCAATTTAAAAAACCCACTCAGGCAACCCATTCATTGAGAGAAAGGCTGTCTGAAGAGAAAGGCCTGCTTGTGGAAGGACAGCAAAGAGGGGGCCAGTTTGGTCTCCAGTGGAAGGGAGTTCCCAAGTCTCCTGATGATCTTAACACTAGGGCAGGCTCATAAAGGGAGACACAGTCCCTTTGATAGCTTGGACCCAAGCCATTCAGGGATTTATAGGTTAGAACTAGCAATCTGAATTGTACCCAGAAATGGGCCAGCAATCAGTGGAGTTGCTGTAACAGGGGTTATATGACTAGCCTCAGTTAGCATTCTGGCTGCCATGTTTTGGACCTGCTGAAGTTTCTGTACACCTTCCAGAGCCAGCCCCACATAGAGCACATCCAGTAAATGCAGCTGGAACGCAACTAAGGCATGTGTCACCATGGCCAGACCAGAGCTCTTCAAGAACAGAGGCATCTGGCACATTATTTTTAACTGTACAATTGTAAAACTGCTGGCCACCACCAAATCCTGGACAGAGGCGAATCCAGGAATAGCCCCAAGACGCAAACCTGTGTTTCCAGAGCAAGTGCAACCCCCATCAGTAAATGCATCTGGAACGCAACTAAGGCACGTGTCACCATGGCCAGACCAGAGCTCTTCAAGAACAGAGGCATCTGGCACATTATTTTTAACTGTACAATTGTAAAACTGCTGGCCACCACCAAATCCTGGACAGAGGCGAATCCAGGAATAGCCCCAAGACGCAAACCTGTGTTTCCAGAGCAAGTGCAACCCCCATCCAGCACAGGCCACATCCCTCTTCCTTGATCTGCCTTTTGACTCTGTCCTGTCTGGATTAAGTTTCAGTTTATTTGCTCTCGTCCAGTTCGTCACTGATATCAAACCCTGATCTAGAGCTGAAACAGCTTCTGATACCAAACCCTGATCTAGAGCTGAAACAGCTTCGTCAGATTTAGATGGAAATGTGAGATAGATGTCCTCCACATACTGGTGACACTGAACCTCAAACTCCAGACCACCTCTCCCAGAGGTTTCATGCATGGGAGACAAAACAGAACCCTGAGGGACCCCGCAGGCGAGGGTGTCAAACAGGAGTCCCCCCCCCCACAGCACCACCACCTGAATTCTCTCCTCCAGGAAGGACCAGAGTCACTAGTAGAAGAAGTGTGGAACTACAGACTCTCTTGGGTGGACACAGAAGTTAAGAGGGTTTAAATGTGTCTGGGAAGCTGAGAGCAATGGCATCAGGAGGCTAGACTCTATTACTCCATTTGTGGGCACAAATCATACTGCAGATTTTGACCTGCAAAGACCAAATGTCTTAAGTCCCAGTTAGCTGAAGGACTGGACCTCCCTATATGAATCGCCCAGGTTTTTAAGATTGTTTGAGGAGGCCTTTCTCCTTATCCCACCACTCGTACAAGGCGACCTAGGACAGATGTGAGTCTTCTCTGTGACTGCTCCCAGGCTATGGAAGTCCCTTCCACAGAAAACTAGACTACCAACCACCATCCCACTGCATTTCTAATGGAAGACAAAAATCTTTTAGACAGGCGTTTAATAAGCAAAGTCGGTTTACTTGCTGCTACTTTCTATAGACGGATTCTAGGGTCTATGCCAATAAAGGTTACCAAATTGAATAAGCAATTTGCTGCTAAAGAAGGGCTTTTAATGGGAGAACTCTTCTCTGTTTAGACAGGCTTTTAATAAGCAATTTGCTGCTAAGGAAGGGCTTTTAATGGGAGAACTCTTCTCTCTTCAAGTTGTTTGCAAATTGGTTGAAAGTAAAAAAAAAAACTACCCCTGAAACCTGAGAGGTTTGCTGCTATTTAGTAATTTTTAATGATTAATATATTTATTACATTTTTAATTGTTCCAACGTTTGCATTCTTTTATTCTTTGTAAGCCACCTTGGGTCAATCTGCCGTGAGAAAAGCAGGATATTGATTAATTTATTATTTATTTAATTAATTACATTCCTAATCTACATCCAATATTGGCATCTATTTAAATCAGGCTGGTCCATCTCCAGATTTCCAGTGGCTTCACATGCCCATCCCTCATCCTTGGTGGACGCTGCCCTCCCACAATCTAAGTGCTCTAGCTTTTCTCTATTTAAGAGTTTCATTCCAGCTTTTGCCAAATAATAAACTCAAAGTGGCTTAATTTAAAAAAAAAAAGATAAAATGAACAAATAAAAATAGTAAAAAAATAACAAAAGGTTCAAAATAAATCAATATGCCCCTGAAACCTGAGAGGTTTGCTGCTATTTACTAAAACATAATATAGGCTTCGACTTTAATTTTACAGAAGGAATTCTATATATTTATAATAGCGTGTAGGGAGATGATTCCAGCGGAGCCATTTCTAAAAAGATTCCATGCCAAACCCCAGGGATGGAGATAACAGTTCATTTTTTTCTCCCATCTTCTTATCCTTATATGACTGGAGTGTGTGAGAAGGCTCAATATAGGGAGAGGAGAGCCGCATTTGTCAGGTTCCAGCCACTGTCCTTTCCACATGTCTGAAGTGAAAGTGTGAATAGAGCTTCTACTGATTCTTATATTTGTTGTTGTTTAGTCGTTAAGTCGTGTCCAACTCTTCGTGACCTCATGGACCAGAGCACGCCAGGCCCTCCTGTCTTCCACTGCCTCCCGGAGTTTGGTCAAATTCATGTTGGTCGCTTCAATGACACTATCCAACCACCTCGTCCTCTTCTCCTCTTGCCTTCACACTTTCCCAACATCAAGGTCTTTTTATGTATCATTCCATAAATGCCTCATATATGGGCATGAAACAGCAAACCTTTCTTACTCACAGAACAGGTTCAGCAAGGATCTCTTCCTGGTGCATTCGCTCCGTCTGCCGGAGACGCAGGATCTCGCTGTAATTGAGGGCATTCACTCGGCTCTTGAACAGCTCCAGCGAAGTGGGCCTCAGGGCAAGGATTCTGGTGATCTGCTCCCGAACCACTTGCATCACCTGCAGGGCACAGAGAGGTATCCCATCAGTGGCCAGCATGGTGTTTTCCCCAACCTCAATCCTACTCATCAAAGCCTACAAATATTTGTTACATGCATGTATTACATAAGCATGCAATGACCTTGGAATCCAGCAGTGAGCTGGACATGAACTCAAAGTGTTGAGGAGCCATCAGTGGGGTTGATGTAAGATTTATCAGGCCCAGATGCCACAACGGAACTGCAGACTCCCAAACATGGAATGCTGGAGACCACCAAACTGAGGACCTTGAAACAGGACCAACATTATTAACCTTTGTGCCTAGCTCTAGCTATGGGCCAGCATATGAACTCCAGAATCCATGCCATTGGTGCACCAATGCCAGTAACAACAGGCACAGCACGAATTTTTGGAGAAATGGAGGAGTGTTAGAATGCCACATTAAAGCTTCCTACCCTGTAAGAAGGCTTAAAGTTGGAGGGCCAAATTAGACACATGCTGGTCCCATATGTAGAAGTAATGATTTTGTACACAGAGACATAGACAGCTATACCTAACCTTGTCAAAATCTTCCTGTGTAGCACGCATCTCCTTCCAGGTTTTGTTCAACAGTTGAACACAGACACAGAACAGTTCTTCAAAGAAGTGTTCTTGGCCAAAGAACATTGGGTAGAAAGCCTGAGCTGTCTCAGAGCCTGTAAAAATAGAACAACATGGTCCTTGAGTAGTATTTTCTCCTTATTCTTTCCTTTTTAATTTCTCTTCTCCTTTTTTCATCTTAATTTCGAAATATGAAAGTCAAACAAGAACTTCTATGTGGAGCCTTGTAACCAAAAGGAAAGGGAATTATAGCGACAGTAGCTAGGAAGCATTCCCTCCATCTTCCCGGGCCATTAAGATTTTAAAGCCCAATTCTTCACAGTGATCTATTCTTAAACTCATCCCTGAGGACTTCCTGCAACCATTCACCTCAATTTACTTCACTCCCTGTTTTTAGACCTGGGACTGTCCATTACAACAGACACACGACACTAACCCCTGCCATTTGGGTCTGGCTCAAGACATTTGGCCACCTAAAGCAAGGGACAAAATGACACTTCCCTCCTGGTTCGTGGATAAAAGCTCACCGTAATGACAAAGGAACTTTAACACTGTTGATGGGAAAACATTTCCCATGCATCTCACAGCTGCTGTGGCTTACTTAGGGGAGCAGCATTCTCCCCCCCCCACAACTCACCCTTCCAAAACCTTGCTACTACTCCCTATATGCCCCCTGCACCTGCTCAGTTCACTGTGCCTGATAATAGGGCTGACCCTGCTGGTATTAGCCATATAAGGTTTTCTGTATACTGCTTCCCTTTCTGGCTTCATAAAGAAAACCTCCAGAGTGGATTGCAAATTATGGTGGTGGGGCTACAGTATTAAAATATGATAGGACACAAGGGGAAAGGAAGTACTTACAAGGCTCCCCAACATGAAGAATCTCACAGAGCATGAAGGCAAGCTGGATGCTACTTCGGGCAAATGGACATTCATGTTTATCTTCTCGGCTACTGTTCTCAAGAATGAACTGAGAGAAAAGAGGTTATGTCAGTGACTCTTCAGGCTCATTAGCGTCGGAGGAGTTAGTCCGGCTATGAAATAATGCAAAACAAATGCTTTAAACAGTACAGTCTAGAAAAATCTACCATTTTCTCATTTTACCTCCCAAAAGATATGGTGAAACAGTCATTATGAAATAATAATTTCCGAAATGTGTAGTCTGATGAAATACTCAGAAATCTCTGCTAAAAAAACTCTAAATGCCCTTCCACAACTACTGAGGCAGTTCTACACACCTCACCAAACAAGAAATACCAGGAATCCTTTACACTTTAGAGGGATCCATTATAGTCAAAATGGCATCAACATGTAGCAGCTGTACTGCAGATCCACCTTCAGAATCCTACTTTAAAATGGCAGCCAAATCTAGGAGTTAGTGAAAGTTCAAAGCAAGCTATGTTGCAAATATCCAGTGCCATTGGTCAATTCTGATCATCTGCTTGTTATTCAGAAACCCAGAAGAAAGAAGAAAGATGAACAGAGAAACATCCTCAGAAAGAAAACAGGCTTGTATTACCCTGCTGTAGGCACTTGGATAATGTCTAGAGAAATAGACCATGCTGTCCAGAGCTAGCAGTCCTGGTGGGACGCTGTGCAAATCCATTGCCGGGTTGCTGTTATTCTGAAAAGGAAAGAATTTAGGATGTCTTTGACCAAAAAACAAACAAACAAAAACCATGCACACACAATTTTAAAAACACAAAATGGATTTGTAAATACAAAATTACATAAATGAAAATTACATAAATCCAGAACACGGCCAAACAGCCCGAAAAATCTACAACAGCCATTAAATCATAAGGGATACTTTTCTCAGTGAGAAAGATCTTCGAATTGCTGTAGATCAAAAGCTGAATATGAGCCAACACTATTATATTGGCTGCAAAAAAGGCAAATGCGATTTTAGGATGCATTAATAGGAGAATAGTCTCCAAATCCAAAAACCATGCACACACAACTTTAAAAACACAAAATGGATCTGTAAATACAAAATTACATAAATCCAGAACACGACCAAACAGCCCGAAAAATCTACAACAGCCATTAAATCATAAGGGATACTTTTCTCAGTGAGAAAGATCTTCGAATTGCTGTAGATCAAAAGCTGAATATGAGCCAACACTATTATATTGGCTGCAAAAAAGGCAAATGCGATTTTAGGATGCATTAATAGGAGAATAGTCTCCAAATCCTGTACTAGTTCCCCTCTATTCAGTGCTGATTACACCTCATTGAGAGAACTGTGTCCACCACACGTTAAGAAGGATGCCAACAAACTTGAGCAAGTTCAAAGGAGGACACCTCACTGAGAGAACTGTGTCCAGTTCGAGACACCACACTTTAAGAAGGATGGCAACAAACTTGAGCAAGTTCAAAAGAGGACAAAAAGGATGATCAGGGGACTGGAAACCAAGCCCTAGGAGGAAAGATTGAAAGAAATGGGCATGTTTTGCCTTGAGAAAATATGACAAAGGGGAGAAATGATAGCACTTTTCAATTACTTGAAATACAAATATGACGAAGGGGAGATATGATAGCACTTTTCAATTACTTGAAATACAGAGGAGGGACAGAATCTGTTCTTGCTCATACCAGAGGGCAGGACACATAAGAACAGGCTCAACGCAAGAAGCGAAATTTATGCTGAATATCGGGAAAAACATGACTGCTAGAGCAGTATGACAATAGAAGCAATTACCTCAGGAGGTGGTGAACACTCCAATGCTGGAAGCATTCAAGAGAAAATTGGATAGCCATCTGTCAGATCTGCTTTGATCTGAATTCCTGCATTGAGCAGGAGGTTGGACTTGACGGCCTTATAAGCCCTTTCCAACTCAATTAATTTGATTACCATGTTCATTGGCAAATTTTAATGCATATCCACATGTACAGCACTTTGACAATTAGCAGTATCCCATGAATCAGAGCTCTGATTTCAGGGGGAATGTTTCTTGTCCTTAATGCAACATGTAGGGTGTGTCTAGTTAAGAGTCAGATAGTCAGAGTTCACATCCTGGCCATGGAAACTCACTGCAAGGAGGTGATGGCAATGCTAAAAACCACTCCTTGAATATCTCCAACATATTTTGAAAATCTTGTTAGGATCACTGTATGTTGGAAGCAAACTGACAACAGATACCAACCACTACATCTCAGATGATGATATAACTTGAGTAGTTTTTTTTACCAGTTACCTTTTCTTGTTTCTCTGTCTTAGGGACCTTCTCCAACCTGCTCAGAATCCCAGCCCAGACACATTTTTGAAATAATGTATAAGTGAGTGAGATGCGAGGGGCTTTGCAACTGCCCAACTGTTCCAAGCACTGACACCAGCTGTGGCTACTCTTCTCAGCAAAACTTTTACTGCTTGCTGTTCTCTTTTCTCAAGGCAGACAATAATCCATAGAACACGTACCACAAAACCCAATTTCCGGAACTCCTTGGCACAAAGAGAGTGTCGACGTTCAGTATTAGAGGCCCCCGTGGAAGATTCATTCTCAGACACAAAAGCCGCATGGCGCAGTGACTGGAGCAGCTCCCTCTGTTCCTGGTGCACAGAATATAATCAAATGCATCTGGTAAACTGAATAGGCCAGGGAGGGAACCCACTCTGTGTGCTAATCAGCTTTGTAAACACTCAGCCAGGTAGCCATAGGTGAGAAAGAACTGCATACAAGTAAGTACAGAAATGGGAAACCTGACTTTTTTTCTACTTTACTACAACTCCCAATTACAGTGGCTTTGGAATTCTGGGAGGTGGATTCCAGAAAAGCAATCTTTTGCAAGTGGACTGTAAAGAGGAGAGAGGGGCCAATCCATCCCTTCCTTGCACCCACTACAGAAAACAACACAGCTACCAGAAGGGGGCAGCAGTGAGCTGCTGATGGGGAGATCTGAGATCTCTGTCTCTTCTGCCAGGTCTTGATAAGGCAGTATTTTTTTTTCAGTTAAATAACTTCTGGTGACTTTTTCTTCTTCTTCTTTTTACAAAGCAGGACTTACCCCCAGACAGTTTGCTACTAGAAGGACAAGATGTTCTCATCCCACTTGCCAAGTGACATACTGAAGCAGATCCGTAGTGCTTTAGGTCTCTCGGTCTCCCACCCTCTGGCTGCGCAGCCAGAGACCTACTGGGACTCCTTGATAGGGGCTGAACTTGACGGTTGATAAGAGTCCTTTCCAGCCCTGGAGTTCTCAGATGATCAAATCTTATTTCAAAACTGCTGGCAGGATCACATCCATGACCACACTTAAAGCAGCAGGCTAATTAAACTGTCCCAGGGACATTATGTAGCAAACACGGTTCTCTCCTTGATCCAAGGGAACATCTAGAACATGTGTGGGGAATGGCCAGGAGAAGGCTAGAGATGCTGCCAGAGATGGCCATTCTGCCCTGCCTAATGAATGGCAAAGCCAACATTACAAACATCCTGTCTAATCATAAGGAATATGGAAGAAAACTCAAGGCAGATCTGATGGGAGAAAACAGACAAAGAAAATGCACTTTGGTATCCTGCCCCCATCAATACTTTAAAAAATCTTTGAAACATGAGGTTAAACTAAAATAAAACAAACCCTTTTCCAATCACTTTGTTTTTATTCAGTGTTTCTAATTTCCCTTCAGTATAAACCTACAGGATGGGAAAAAAGAAGGGAGTGGGAATGACAAAAATAGGCAAGGGTTGGGAACGGAAAAAACAAACCTGTGAATAGGGGTCCATCGGGGTCCTCATCCGGCGTTCCAACAGGTTCAACGTGAGAGACTGCAGCACGTACAGATAGTGAGCCATTTCATCCCCAATTGGTTCCGAGGCATGGATGATATTCTACAGAAAGCACCAAAGAGGCACAGCTGATGTGGCATTTGGACAAGTTACCTTTTTGGACAATAAATTCCAGTGGCTCTTTTCCCTGGGAGATTCTGGGACGTGTCATCCCAAAAAGTAACTTGTCTCAGCCAGTCCCCAGTCCCCACTCTCCCACCTCCCTGAAGTGAACCTTCAACATTTCTGCTTCTGGCAAAGCATCTGTTTGCCAAGGAGAAAGGAGCAGGCCGCTGTCTGTGAGGGAGAGAAACAGAGCAGAGCACAGAAGCAATGGGCAAAGCTGGAAGGACGACGCAAAGGAGCGACATGGCTCACTCAAGACATCAGGCTAGGAGCTCAGCAATGAAGGAGCAGGGAAGTCCAGCGCAAAGGGAAACAGAAGCCAAGGAAATACCCTGAGGCTGCCTGCAAGCCCACCTTGTGGATAAATTGCCTGAGGTTCTTCTCCCCCAGATAGCCCATCATGTCCTGAAATGGAAAAGAGGCAGGGAGATAACTTCAGCACACCATTTATAACACATCATTTTTGAAAACCTATCCTGGACGTGTGGTCTTTTCCCAGCAATTCTGTATAAACACTACTCTTCTAAATGCTACCTATTGGTAAAGTTTGGTTTGGCTTGATTTTTTTATCAACATCAGTCCTTGACATCAAAAAACTATTTGGCATTCTTATTTATTTAATATTACAGCTGGATCCAGTGTACTTTTTCTGGACTTAAGTCCAGAAATTGTGAAGTTGCTCTTTTGAACTACAAAGCCAAGAATCCCTTGACCAATTGTAGGCCAAAATGGTAATTTTCAAGCTCTGCTTCAGATGCACTGAAGTCAGTGGGGAAAATAAATTATGAATCATATTAAGATCCAATGGTTTCACTGAAAACTAAGTTCAACCAGTTTAAATTTGCTCTTAATTTTTTCTCCAACCTTTGGACAAGCCACCAAAGATTCTCCTGCCTTCCGTTTTCTTGTGATGAAAAAGAAAGTGGCCCTGCTCCGAGGTCACCCAATGAGGTCGCCCAGCTCTTACCAGAGGCACTTGAGCAGCCAAAGCCCACTTTCTCTGTCTTACAAAGATCACAGCCACACTCTGTGATGGTCTGCATATTTTCCCCACACTTATTTGGTAAAATAAAATATTAAAATAATATCTTAATTTAGAACCAAGAAGTAGATGATAACTCTGCTGTGTAAATAGAGTTCTTAAAATCAGTAAGACATGGGGAAAATACAGCTGAAATGGCTTACCTTGCTTTTTGTCTCCTTGGCTTTAAATGTCTATTATACAAATCATGCCACTTCTGTTTATCAGCCTCTTACTGATAGGTCTTTTCCTCTCAAGAGTTCTTCCCTTACAGTCTAGTTCATTGATAGAGCAAAGTTTCCTTATTAAGGACCTCACAGCTGCATGCTGATCTTGCACCCAGGAAGTCCAACTCTGTCCTTTGGGTCAGTGCCCATCAATATCGGTTACCCCCTATGTCTATCGGGGATAACGGGCAAACTGCCACTGAGAGTCCTCCTCAGTCTTTGGCTGTTGACCACTGCTGTTCTTCTGCTTTTCATTGCGAAGTCCAGGACTGGCCATGCATACAATAAAGGTAAAGGTTCCCCTTGACATTTAGTCCAGTCGTGTCCGACTCTAGGGGGCGGTGCGCATCCCATTTTCAAGCCGTAGAGCCAGCAGTTGTCCAAAGACAGTTTCCATTGCCACATGGCCAGCGTGACTAGGGAATGCCATTTTACCTTCCCACCAAGGTGGTACCTATTTATCTACTCGCATTTGCATGCTTTCAAAATGCTAGGTTGGCAGGAGCTGGGACAAGCGACGGGAGCTCACTACGTTGTGTGGATTCTATTTTACAACGGCTGGTCTTATGACCTTGCAGTACAGAGGCTTCTGTGGTTTAACCCGCAGCACCACCACATCCCTGCATACAATAGCTGACCTTATACCTGACAACCTGAAATGCAGAATGTACAACCCTCTAGACACTGCTGGACAGCAACTTCCAATGTCCCTTACCATTTGCTGTGCTCGTTAGCACTAATGGCAAAAGCAGAGGATCACACATTCCCCATTCTTGCCTTAAACAGGCTACAGGATCTCAGATATTGCCAGCTTCCTCCCTCACAGCCTAATTCCTGTTCTACACCAATGATCCAGTATGTACAGTAGAAGCACAACGGGAAGTCAGTGTACCTATTCTATTTGAGGGGAAATACAGGAACTTCTCCCTTCTTTCACACAGAAACACAGAAAAGTACACATTATCCATCACCACTGCCAATGACTACAGTTTGGGCAACTTTTCTTTTTGGAACACAACTTCCAGAGCCAGCCTGTAACTTTCACAGGCTGTGGCAATATAGTGCAATGTAGAGCTTCCAGCCAACCACCAGATCCCTGGGGGACACTGGGATAATCACATTTTTAAAAGTAATTCTTCCAAGCTCCTCAAAGGTAAGATTGGTGTCACCATGTCTTGTAAAATGTTGACCCTGGTGTTCTTACACCAAGATAGATGGCTTAAGTATTCTAGCCTCATCTCTGCAGGCAACGGTCAAGTGAATGATGGGGCCTCACTTACCCTCCTCTCCAACTCACTGGCATTGAGGAGCAGAGCAATAAGAAGAGCCATGGCTTTTAGCTGCAGCTGCTGGTTCATTCTAGAAGAGAGAGAGAGAGAGAGAATATTAGAGGATTAATATCCAGATGTGTCAGGATCTCACCACAATCCCCTATGCCTCTCACCAATGTCTCTCAGAGTGTGACTACACTACACAGCTATCGCAGTCTGACACCATTTTAACTGGTGTGCCTCCACCCTAAAGAATTCTGAGATCTGTGGTTAGGCGAGACACTTAAGAATTCTCAGTTGTAGTTCATGAACGTGGCCCAGCACAGAATTCTCAGTACCTCAACCAACTACAAATCCTAGGATTTCACAGGTTCAACCTACTATGAAAGTGTAGCACAGATATACTGTATCTCTTAGATTTTTAGTGGTCTAATAAAGAAATCACCTGCTCCTACATTTGTCCTGTGAGTGTTAACACTCAATCACAAACCCCATATTCAAAGGCATAAGCACGAGAACGCCCTCCCCTTAGAGGCCTGACTGGCATCAAACTTGCCCTTATTTCAGTGCCAAGTTAAAACTTAGTCTCTTATTTGAACCTTTGGAAACTTACGAATGAGACCACGTTCAGTTTCCTTTGCGTCTGTTTAAATTATTAAACTGTTTTAAAGTGCTGTAAAGTACATCCAGTTGTTTTAAAATATTGCAAAATATTGACTGTTCCTGGGTATTTTGTTTGACCCCTTTCTGACATACACTGCCGTACAGCAGAAAAGAAGTGATGAAAGCAGTAAAGCTGTACCATGCTTACACTTGCAGAAGACTGATCAGACGCTCCAGAGTCACTTGATGCTTGACCAGCTCAAAGAAAGAACGGCTGGTTGGTACCATGTTTTCCAGAATCGCCAGTGAAATCTGTTGGATGGAGGCATCCATCGGGGTGATATTGACATAATTGATGATCTGAAACCAAAGACAGGATTTTACAGAATCCTGCATTTGTGAAGGTCCAAAGGTACAGCCCTATTTATTTCTTTTAACTAGTCTTGCTTCTCACACGGAATCAGGAACGCTGGTTGAGGAATGTGCAATTGTATATGGCAGAAGACAGTTAACAAAGAACAGGGAACAACTCTCACCTCTTCAAGAACTTTCTAGGAATGGAAACAGCTCAAACATCTTCCCATAAGAGGGATGTGCATGTTCCCCCTTATGTGAGCCCCCTTCTTTTCTCACACATTGAAATTTCCATGAATCCAACGCCTATAATAGCATCTTAAAACTTAGAATGAGTTCACTATAGCAGGATTTAATTGCTTTTCAAAAGAAAAGGCTTGATTACTTCCATTAATCATTGTGACTTCAAAAATCTTACTTGGTTGTCTTATCATGACGGAAAATTGTTTGATTTATAATCAGAACTGTTGATAATTACTCTTGAAAGAAACAATAGGCAATCTGCGCATTGCCACATGTAAAACCTTGCCAGCCTGGACACTAGAGCTATAGATCCCTGCAAAACCTTCCAGTGTTGCAAATTAATATAACATGCTATTCCTTTCCCTCGGCCAACTTCCTAGCAAGGGATACAAAGACGAGATGATCAGTTCAGCACCTAGTTCCAAGGTGGTTCTTACCTTTTTGATAAAAGCTGGACTGAGAGTCTCCCAGGAAACAAAATCGTGCTCCATCAGCTCCACAAAGGCCTTCAGAGCATATGCTAGAATCTCCCCTATACTGGAGCAACAGACAGCAAACAGGGTAAGAGAGCCCCAGAAACGCCACCCTTCAGGACCAAAGTGGAACTGGAACACAGACACTCAGATTTCACAGGAATGTGATGCATTAGAGACACCTACAAAGAGAGAGGGAAAGAGAAAGGAAGACGTAGAAGAAGAGGGGAAAGAGGCAGAGGGAGGGAGACGAGTGAAGAGAAGGTGGCTTCTACATAAACTTGATTTCCCGGAAAAGAACAAAAAAAAAATTCACATAGCACAAGCAATAATTCTGCTCCACTTTTGCCACCAGAAATCTTGAATTTGGCTATTGGAAAGTAATAGAGAGAAGTGTAGCATTTATTTAAGATTTAAGCAACTGGGTAACATGATTTATTCCAGCCAGTTAAAAATACTGAATCCTTTTACTGATTATTATAGCTCGCCTCTCCCAACCTAAGCCACTTTGCAGAGTCATTGAAAGGTTAACACATGGGATGGGAAGGATAAATCACATTCAACAAGGAATGGGGCAGAATTGCAATATGTATCTCTGCTGCCCCTTCATGGATTGCTGCCTTGTCCTGGCGAAGGGGCTTGAGTAACTAAGAGAAGCTGTGCCGTGCAGGGACACCTAAGACGAACAGGTCATAGTGGAAAATTCTGACTAAACGCAATCCACCTGGAGTAGGAATTGGCAATGCCACTCCAGTATCTTTGCCAAGAACGCCCCATG